GCCAACTTAAAACTTCACTGAAGTAAGAAGTAGCCATTCACTCCATTATAATTCAAATTATCTTAAAGCCACTATCAGGAGCAAGTGACACAGAAAAAAATTAGTGATCACTCAATCGAACATGTGATGCGTGCACAAGTTTAGATTTCATTCTTGATATTTCCTTCAACCACATTGTGACTTTACTGTTCATTTGAAAGTGATTCTTGTTAAATCAACCTCATCTTCACTTGAAAATGTACCCCATTTGACTTAACAATGCTAAAATAAAAAACTTACCCTTTGCAGTTCATAAACAGTTTTGCGAAAACTTTTGGGCCGTGCTCACCCACTTGTGGATTTGGACAGCAACTGCCGGTAGATGCTTTCTATCTTAGGTGGCTTATGTAACTAATTTTCATTAAAAATTCTGATGCCCGGAATTTAAGATCCTGAAACGCCTATTATGGTTTTAAAATTTATGCTTGGTTTTAACCGGGCTAGAATGTGATTATATGATAAGATTATCTGGAAGAATTCTTATTTGGAAGAAGGTCGCATTTAGGTCAAGGATTGAGGAAAGCATAAATTTGCCGAAATGCTTAAACTGTTCAAGCTGCATTGGAGAACAGAGTTTCTTTTTTCAGACAATTGTGAAATAAGATTTATGTATGGTTTTTATATTAGCTCCAGAATATGCCCAACTCCACGATTAAAATATTTAAGCGGATGAAAGAGTTCAGAGGATTCTCAGGCAAAGCTGAAAACAGCATATGTGAGGAAAGAAGGCTAAAACGGAACATTTTTTTTAAATGGCAGTAGGAGGATTGTTTGGGAGTGTCGAGACGGAAAGGAGCTCAGTCGCTTTTAAATTGTAGACAGACCATCATATACTGAAACCTAATTGGACTAAAAAGATAGCGAGAGAGGTTGGCTGCCCGCCATCACTTGAATTGAGCAGAGGAACTGTAGGCAATTTTTTCAGATTAACTGTGATATCTATGTATTAGGAATTTCTAACATACTGCACATTAATTAGAATGGTACAGAAAATCTGTTTGTTTGGCGCGACAGAAAACATGATATAACGGATAAAGCGATTACTTGTAAATGCACTCACAGTCAGCAATCACGGCTCCAATGTTCAGAGCACGTACGCAATAACATTTGACGACGGATCAATTAACCTCTGCTGAATAGAGCCTTATATGAAAAGGTGTCTGCCTCTGCGAATAAGAAATCATCTTTAAGACGTTAAGGCCTACCAACGGTTTATCTAGATCGTAATGACGCGAAAGGTTGACGACATGTGTAAACTTTGTTGCAACATACGAGCTGCGGATGTAATTTGCTATAAATACCCTCATGTTTAAAAATAATTGTGATAACTCCAGCAGTTATCCGGTTTTATATCCAGAGATATGAAGTAGAACAGAGGGAGAATTAGCAGAAATATGCTCGGTAGAATCGTATGAAAGTACTGAATTGGTCCATAACCACTGTTAGATCAGGAAATCTCTTGTGTTCCCCCATTCCATATTAGGGAAGTGATCCAAAATATTGAAGTTGCGTCCTGAACTGTATAGCAACACGCTAATAGAAGCTAACCAAGGCAGAAATCCCGCAACATGACACTAAGATCGATGTAATCCAAGACTGAATACAAAGAGCGTGACCTCAATTTTTTAAAAAATAAAAATTATTATCTTTCACGTCAGTCAAGCCATACCCAATAGCCACACCTAGAAATAAGCACATTTTGTAACTTCAAGTTGTTGTTAATTAATCAGGGATGTTTAGTTGAGTAGCTGACTCTGAACAAAGTGTTATACGCTCATAAAGAACTCGTTCAGCAATTCCTATATCTCTCTTTGTTGTCAAACTGTCTTAAATAGCTTGAAACAAATGCGAGCCATGTTTGACGGAAATATGCCAAATCCTTTCACACCGTTTCAGGCACTCCTTCAGCAATCCTTGCTGTTTCATCGAATTTATAATCTCTTTGTCAAAATGTCGGCGCTAAGAATCAAAGCAGAGCCATATTTTTGGGGATATATCACACTTGCTCCCAATTTTGTCGCGGAGAAAGAACAAAGAGGAAGATACGCTTATGAATTTAGTTGTACATTCGCCTCGTCTATGGCTTGGTAATCAAGCGACGTGGCAAAAAATCTGGAAAAAAAACGGAGAGTGTTTAAGAGTGGAAAATGAAAGGATAGCTTCCGTTAGAGAAAAACAGAAAACACATCGTTTTGACACCGATCCATATTTAGAGAGACAAGACGAATTCCTAAAATAACGGATGGAAGGCCGCCATATTGTCTATGATTATGTGCGTGCACCATAAGAGAGACAGAATTACATAGGCAGAACTCATGCAAAACTATAAATGGCCAAACTGTACGACAAACTGATCCAATAGGCAGGATCTTATGATTGAGGTGAAAACTTAGACTCATGGAATATATTAACAAATGAGGTTAAAGAGATAGACAGAGGGAACGTGATGAACAGCAAACTGACAATGATATCTACAATAAGAAAAGACAGACAATAACAGGACAGTATACAAACACAATATGTTTGACCATGTTTTTCCTTTGCACACCCTACTCAATGTGAATTAATTCCCAGATTGATCCTGATGATAAAATGTTTTAAATTGTCCTAAATCTGAAACAACAGCATCATAATCACCGAGTTCTCAAAAGAGAAGTAATGAAAGCGTCGTTTCAAGAAATATGAGGTGTAACATGCCCAGAGGACAAATAAATTTGATTTCGTGTGAAGAACACATACTTGTATAAACCGCCAGCAGACAAGAAACGACAGATATCAAGTCATAATATATACTAACTTGAGTTTGTTCCCAGATTGATCTTGAAGATAAAATGTTCTAAATGATCTCAAAATTTAAACAATAACAACAATATCGTAGTCACCGATTTCTTGAAAGAGATCTATCAAAAGCGTTGTTTCTAAAAATATGAAGCGTTGAACAGAGAACGACTACTGAAGACGAAGAACAAATTTTGTATAAACTGTCAAAGAGCCTTTCAGCGACAAGAACTTGGGGACTATCAAGGCATAACATATTCTGACATGCTGATTTAAGTATGCTTGTCATAAGTATGCTTGTCATACTTCCTTTTTAGCCTTATGGTTATTTTGGGCTTAAAGGTTGTTTACTTACCTAAATGGGAATTCTATCATGTTGACGTAAACAAGGTAAGTACGAACACGAACGAAGATGTTTCTTTTTTCGTTGGTGGAACACGAACAGGCTGCAAGTGGATGAACATTTCAGTTCGCTATTGGATCTCGAAGACTGTTGAATTCTTGTTTCGAAGGACAGAAGGCACGAGTAAAGCATGCTGGCTGCGCTTTTTATAACTAGCGCTATCTTTTAGTGAAAGAATTACACCTAGAACGTTTCGCCTTGTTAAGGAGGCGCGTCTCAGCTTTGCTGCCGAAGGTTGAACCCAATGAACCTGAGACTAATTATGGTTCAGCTATTGAATTGCTTTCCCTTTAGCGTTTACTTTGGTTTATAAGACAGAGTTATGTTAGCTAAAGATGAAAATAACAACTCAGACTTTCTCCTGCGGATAATAATAATACTGTTGTTGCTATCGCTATTTTAGGGCGGTTGCTAAGCCGGAATATGCAGCTAAGTGCTTCGGTTCTATCTAATTGCCCAACGTATGCGAAGAATTCCTAATTAGAAATTGATTAAGTAGTCCTGTTTGGACAGAGCGGTCGGGGTTTTTTCGATTTACAATACTGGTTTTACCTTGATTTGTTGTGCAGTTCTATCAGAGAAGTGTTAGCAGACACTGGTTATTTACGGCGCATGTGGTCAACCGTGTGCTTTTGTTTGTTGAAAATTAAAATCAGTAATAGTCATGCAACCATCACTCATCTACGTCAGTATCTTTAACCTTTTTTGAAGACTTAAAATTCCTGCAATTCTGATATAAAACTGACTAATTTACTGTCGATTTTTTCATGGCAAAGGGCCTTTCATGTTCGTTCATCGGGATTTGGCTCACTCAATTTCTCGCACACGTGCACCTTTTCAACTTACTCTAACAGCATGTTAGTCACGGTATTTTCTTTTTTTTTTCTTTTAGCACCGAATGAACGTTTTTGTCTTCAACTTGCCCTGTTTAAGACGCTAGGCATGTCACGCGTGCACGAGCACCTCCACTCTTGGAGGCGGTGACCTCCGTGCCCGTGAAAATTCAGACGATATCCGAAAGCGTGAGCGTTGACATCGATAGGGAAAACAAACGCGCACAAAACATGACAAATCGCATGAAAAACTAGAATGTCTATAATTCTAATGTCTGCAGCTGGTCATAAATCATGATTGACCGCGAAAAAATTCCAGTTCAATAATGACATGTAGCTGGAATTCCAGACTGCTGGTCCTTCTAAAATCTTGATCCGTAAAAAGTAAATTTTCACGATTTTCTGCCTTATGCAAGAACTGCATCAGTTCCCAACCACCGGCTGGTTAGCAGCAAGGTCATTTGCATGAGCATCAAAAGTGAGCCGTTCAAACGTGTTTTTAATACTAGACTAGACGAATTAATGTCGAAATATGTTCGAGACCGAACAACATGATATATTGCTCGAGGACCTTTTAAAGAGTTTTGTTTCGGCCACATATGACTCGCAGCGCACACAGGGAGTCTTTGAAGAATTCATGATTAACAGCGAGATAAATTCGGTGTCAAGCGGCCAGACGAAATGGAGGAAAAGCTCGTCAGAAAAGGTCAACGAAAATGTTGGCACTGCTCTGATTGAAACCATTCCAAATGAACTACTGCGAGCCACTTTCAAAAAAAACAAAAGGTCTTAGACCTTTTTCGCTCCGAATAATCCTTGTATTGTTCTTGTTCTTTACCATTTTGCTCGAAGTTCCGCATTTAGGAAAGAATAGTCTAGATCCCTTACATATCCTTTTGGTCAGTTAAGACTTTTTCAGCATGATAAATTTCAGAGAAAGTACTTACAAGCCTTAGGTTCTATAACTTGGAAGGTCAAAGGAGGGTCGATTCTCTGTCCTGTGGCTTCTCTGGTGCGCCAGAGATAATTCTTTCCTCAGTTGGAGCTATTTGACAGTCTTCAGTCTAATTACACAGAGAGACACCAAAGCTAATTCAGTTACTAACAAGAGACTTCATTTGCAAGTCGCAAAACACGTTGTGGGCATCATTTTCAAAATTTTCTCCAAAGTGTTGTTGCTGATTTCCCAGTCTCCGTGGCGGCGGAGACTGCCGCCACCCTCGTCGCCTCAGTTCAAACACTTGTGCGCCAAATTGGAAAACTTAAATAAGTGATCATATATAGGAGTCTATAAACACTGGGCTTAGAAAGGCCCCCAGTAGACAGATTTGTGCTTGTTTAGATCAAAATAAGCAGGAATCATTTCGCAATCATCCATCCACGCCAATATGTTTAACCTTTTTTGAAGAATTAAAATTACTCCGTTTACAAAAATAAACTGACTGATAAACTGAAGATGATCTTTAAAAATTGGCCAAAAACCTAGCATGCATGCTCACCGGATTGCTTATCTTGCACTCTCCGGCGGTACCTGTTTACCAGTTCCTTACTTTTAGCAAGTGTTAGTCAGAGTGTTGAAGAATTTTTTTTAGGAAGGTGTAGAGTTACCCTCAACACGAACAAGTTACATACAGACTGTAGTTTTAATAGGGTAAAAAAAAGAAGAAAAAAGTGAGAAAAAAAAAGGACCGCTTGGGATGGAAACGAGTGGACTGAATTTGAAAAGAAGAACTAGAAAACGACAACTTATTCGATATAACGAAAGCGCAGCAGAACAACTTCTCAGCGACTTTTTGAGAAGAATCTTCTGACTTTCTCTCAGGGAACCTTTTTAAAGCTGTATCTTTGTCATCTTCCCATTTATACTTCAAACAAACTCACCTTTCACAGTACTTAATCTTTATGATTACCGTTTTCGTTTGACTCACTCCATGCTGTAATTTTCAGCCTAAAAGCTCGAGTCTCGGTGTTCTGAATCCAACAAATTCTTTAACTGTGCTCAAGATTGACTGGCAGTGCAATAATCTCTTCATTCGCGATAGCACGTGATAAAGACATGCGATTATCGTGCTTTGTGAAAATGAAACTTCCGTTGCGGAATTCCGTTGGATTAGACACTGTCGAGATTAACAGTTAACTTGACGCAGAGAAATGGAAGCGGGAAGTGTTTCAAACAACAAAAACCGCCAAACAAAAATAAAACCAGATTCTTTTGAAAGTTAATCTTCCTTCACTCTTCCTGTATTTATCCTTAAGACTGCGTTTGATTGAATAGACCACCTCGCGATATTTTGGGAAAGGTCAACACAGAGCAATTAAAAAATAAACTAAAAAGAAAAGGGAATGGTTTAAGACTGAGGAGATCAAAAGAAACGCAAATGATGAACGTGAACAGATAATATTATCGCATTTAATGCATTCAATGGCCTGACTCTGCATGGTGAGACAATCGGTTTAACGTTTCATTTATCTTGTGAACAGATATGTTACATTTTTCATGAAAATTTACATTAAAACTGAGTAGAGATGACGAGCAATAAAAGGGGTTCATTTTCGAAAAAGACATACGTGCTTCTTACAGGATGAGGAACAACTACGGTCTAGTAGTTGTTCCGCGGTGAAAATTTTTTGATTAGAATCTAGATATATCGTCAATAAAAGGAAGGGGATCATTTTTCCGCATGCATCTACTTATTAAACTCTCAACTGCCGTTTGACTGCGAACATATAGACTGAACAACCTTTAGGAAAGTTATCAGTGAGTTAAGAATGATTGTTTTATTCTTGCCTACTAAAGTTTAGAATTAGTAAATTCAAGTATATTAATGAGGGCGTTATCTTCCGCCTCACGGACGTCAAAGTGAGTTCCATAAAAACTAGATTTACAAGCAACATCGAGCGTAAGTTTCCTTCGCTGTTTTGACAGTTGCTCTGATCTTGAAAGTAAATATCCCTTTGGTATGTGGACATGCCAAGTTTCCACTTGTCTAGAGGAACTCGTTTTTAAAGCCAATTAATTAACATTAAGGCTCTTTTGTGCTGTAGGTCGGGTTTGACGAGTTTCAAATTAGAGCGAACTTTGTAACTGCATGCATGTTTGTACTTCCGGTTCTTCATACATATGATGCTTCTATGGAAGTCAAAACGAACATCAAAGAGATTAAGTGTTTCATCCATATTATACTCAGAACGAGACAAGGATAGTGTTTACAAAAGTTAGTCCGAAGCGTCTTACATCCATGGTGATGCAGTTGTTTTATTTGCGTGGTAAGGAAAATTACGTGCATCTTTAACAGCCATTATTATGTTCTCCTCATTTGACGTTTTTTTTTTGGTGTAACTTAAACGGTCAATTGAAGGGGGAACCTTTAGATGTAATACAACAATGTAAGTCGTAAGAATTATCCATAGGGGCATTTGATGATTGAGGATTAAGAAACACGGATTGCCGGCAGAAGACGAACTTGGAAAAGGAAGCGAAATTTTTAAGATATACGATACCTTTATGACGAAGATTCTTCACACCTACTTTCACTGTTTATATCTTCGCTAAGTTGCTCTTTGGCACGCAACTGAAGTTGTGTCTGTTAACCCTTTAACTCTCAAGATCTGATTGTTAATTCTCCCCTTTAGCTGCTACTTATTTCCTCGTAAATTAGTTACGATAACTTGATGTTAGATCAGGATGACAACTTCCTCCTGATAAGTATGAGTATTCTCATTACCTGTTTTCTGGATAATGTATGGATATTATTGGGAGAAGATGCATGTTGATCACTTCTGGGAGTTAAAGGGTTAAGAACCTCTCATATAACAGCTAATGGTGGCTAACTTGACTCTGATATTGTGCGATCAAAATGTGTAAACTCTCTTAATCTCCTCTCGTTCCTTATACCGCATTCGAAAATGAGCTGCCCACTGGGTCTTTCTAGAAGGCGAAATTTTCTTCCAACTTGTTTCTTGGCGGCACGTGATCTAATCTCGTCAAAGTCTGTTTCTTTTCTCAGACTTCATTTTCTGAAATTTCTATACTTGAAGTACGCTGATGAAGGTCATATTCCGCTAGCATAATCAGTGCCTTCACGTGCACTTGATATGCAGGGTTGGATTCAGTCCTTGCAGGAGAATATTAGAACTTGTAAAAAAATTTTGTATGACGCTATCAAGGTGGTATACAATGGGGGAATCCAACCCTCTCATCAATTAGAAACCATTAAAAGGAAATAGGAGATTGCATGTAAGCACGATGATTTTGCCAGACATTTGTCTAAATATCTTTAAAATGTAGAGCCCTTCCTGTCGTGGAAATAAACTTGACCCGACGAAAAGAGCTCAGCGTGTTGAAAGAGAATGAAATAAACCCATTCCTTGTTGATTTTTTTTTAATGAACGCTAGCTACGCATATAAAACGTCAATCATGTGAAAATAGCTACTTCCTATTAAACCGAGTCTTCCCTGTAAGCTTATCATACCTTGCCGGTGACTTTATTGACCCGTCTCGTTTTTTTTTTCAAGTCTACAATCTTTACCAAGAGCTAAATTCACAGAGAAAGCCTGCCTGCTATTGAATTAAGGTCACAAAACGTGAATAAGATTCCAGCTGTTTCCTTTCATATACAGGTAGATCAACTACATAAGGTATGAAAAACAACGATCCTTACGTAAACAACATGGAAAGAAGATCAGTCAATTCTGTTCTTTTGAGGAGACCTTTTCCTTAACAATGGTACCGAAAACCATTGTAATATTTCGAAGTTCTCTGCAGTCTATCGAGAGATATTGAATATGGAGGCACTATTTTTTCTGAGTTGCGATCAATTTCATATGCATGACACATAATTGAAAACGATCGTCTGGTTAATGGAAACTAACAAGTAACAGCTGGCAAATTTGTTTGACTCGCTGATTGTCTAAAAACTAGTAAACCACCCAGGAGCAAGGACTCCTTAGTCGATAGAGGAGTTAGATTCATATTCTTACCGCAAGTTTCACTAGGAGAAATGAATGAATCCCGCATTCTGTACATAAACAATTCGTTAACCGGCACTTAACTACGTCTAGTTTAAGTAAAAATGGAGCCCACTGTGTATTCCGATGTAGAAGAAATCAAATGACTAAGTGGAATTTTAACACATCCTTTCAGCAGCAGGAGTTTCAATGGTGGGTTCCAGCTCTTCGAAAATCGCGGCCTGATTGATTGCCAAGCCTTGACTCGATGAGATATTTTAGAACTTCAGTAATATGAAGAGATATATATATATATATGGTGACTTTCGCACAAGCGACAACTTGGCTAATCTGAACCAGCTGTGGGTATAGGAAAAAAGTCTTTATTCGTGTTTAGGCTCGAATTCTCTTTGTTAATTATGCAACCCCTACGTGCAGGTTCCCTGTAAGTCTCCTTAGACACTGATCGAACGCGTAACTCATACACTACGGAAGACATAAGCACAAAACTGGGATAAGCCACGGAGTGCACAAATATAAGATTACTATAGTAAATCCGGCAAAATATTATATTAGTGTTACAGCTCTCACCTTAATGTTTTGGCAAAATAATGAATCTTTCACAGTATGAGATAATCTTTGAATACGTTCGGACGAGGGCAGTCTTTAATTAAACGCTGTCAGACATGATGTACTCAACTGTAGCCGAAACACAATCCGCGTGTAAAACCTTATAGACCAATTAGATCTATCGTACTTCCGGAAGTATACATAGGAACAGTAGCTTAATAGCTGTCACTCTTACGGATAACTCCAACTAACTTGATTTATGAACCTCGCTAGAATAACTACAACAGTCATGTTTCTCTATTTGAAGGAGTTAGACATCTAAGCTGTGGTATAATTCTGACAATGTCCTTATCAACCGCTTTCTGATGCGTGCAGTGTGTGGGAGGTGGACGTGCGGCTGTGAACCTTTCATCCATTTCCATTAGGATTGATTTTCAAATGGAATAATCACATTAACATGTGTCACAGTAGTAGACTGTTATTCAATCAAGGGGTTTATAATCTAGAAGAATAATATTTTTTGTTGACTGAAAAAAAAGTAATAGATACCCAAGGCGCATGTAATCTATGAAACAGTTGATTATCGAAAAAAAAAAAAAACAAAACCGTAGAGCACGAACTTGCACATCATGTGAAACCAGGGGTCTGAAAAAGCTTAAAGCCGATATAGACAACATATTATCCTTGGATAAAAACTAACGCTTTCTTTTTTGTATTGCAGGTCCTTTAAAAAGGGAATAACTAGCATGCTATTCTGACATTCCTTCCGAGATGGAGACATCTGCTGCCGGTTGACGAAGGGTGGATAACGCTATCAACTGGATAAATCTCTCTCTGCTGGATAGTGATATATCCGTTGGATAGCGTTATCCGCCCTTTGAACGACTGAGCCCTGGTAGAAAAACTACATGAAGTGGAAGTCAGTGACATGTCCATGCCATTACAACGGATAGACTATGTGCCTTCACAAAATTATGATTAATTTTATGTCACGAGCACTACATATAGATGAGGTATCTGAGACCTTTCGAGAGCTGAAACGCAGAGGCTATTTTTGGATAAGTCGGTACGAAACGTGTTTTCTTAGGTGATTTTCGTCCAAATTGACTTTGGTATATAGGCTCAGGAATGCAATTTTTGTTTCGTTGTCTTTCATTGTGATCAAAACACTCTCTATGGCCTATCCTTAACGTATTCTGTCGTCTATTAATGCAATAATTCATACAGAAATAGTTACTTTCAACTCGGCATATTCTTTATTTTTTGTGTAAATATTGAACACAATGAGCTTACTCGGATTATCTTAACGTCTTTAAGTATTGAATATAACAGCAGGTACCGGGTTTAAGAATGAATACCGGCCTTGTAAAACAGAGGAGGCCCTGCTTTATCGTGCACCTTTTAATGCAATGTACTGCTGGAAATAAGCGAAGAGAATTCGGCAAAATGAGCCCGAGCTTGTTACAAAATAAAAGGGAACTGGAGTAGCTCGACGAAATTGGGCACGCGAGCGTTATTCTTCACGGAACACATTTAAAATTTTCAATAGTTGGCTTGCCAGGAGAACATAACTAGACGCCTATGGCGAATTTAAGGCAAATTTACTCACTTACTCAGCTGCTGAAGCTTTTGAATCTCCAACTGATTCCCCTGTTAAAACGACAGTCAATAACTGGTGTAAACTCTGTCGCGAGTGAGCGTGCAGACAATGAGTCCCTCTTCATTATGTAATCTTTTTTCATAATAAAATACGTCATATCATTGGCCAAAAGAAGTCATCTGAGAGTGCTTGGTAATAGCTATTCACCTGGCCCTAACAGTTAAAATCGCTAAATTCCAGTAGCTTAAGACCGTAAGACCTTAAGTGGTCGATCAAGGTAAGCCTTGCAAAACCCATGGGTAAGCAAAACGACTCTTTTCAAAGGTGCCTATGGGTCATTCCTCTGATTTAGATCCTGTGAGAAACAATGATTGTTTACGGGAAAATAATGGCCTATTTCCAAGGCGAAAGAACCCAAGAATACTTTAAAAGCATGAAATCGCCCAACTTTAACTCATAAATAATTTAAATTATTTGACGAATTAAAATATCTCTGATCAAAAGCGCGACAGTTTCAATCATATCTAGTTTGATCGATTTTCAGTGGGGTTTTAATTAAGTCGTCTTTTCACGTTTAGCTGACCACAAGAGATCAGCTAGTATCCTTTTATCAATTTCCCTCCTGGCTTGAATGCCGCTAATCCAACGCCGGTAACCTCCGGTAGTTCGCCTAATTTCCTTGAAAGCTTGTTGATACAAATTGATAATCTTGGGTAGAAAGAGGCATTGTGTGATTTTATGTGTCTTTCCAAAGGCAAATGACCGGATAATTTAGGGCCGTTTAGCTCGGTCTTAGTTGGTCTGCTTTGCCTTCCATAAACTCCCTTCCTTTCCGTCGACCATGTGTCGAAGCGACCGGGCGCGCTGTAAACGTTACGTTGGACTTTTTAGGGCGAAGAAGGCCTATGGATGTTATGCTGGAAACCCCAGAGGGATGTATAACAACTAATTTTATGCACATCTCTTTTGATAACAATCGTATGGAGCTGCCATATTTGCTTAGCTCGCACCATGTTCCCGCCCAGATCACTACATGGTCACCTACAGTAAGCGCTGGTCAGCAGCCACTCACCGAGCAATCAATATGGCGGATCCGAGTGGTCATGTGCCAAATAACGAGTTCAGAGAACGTTTGGTGGAAAAAGTTCAATTAAATGTAACGGAAACAGGAAAACTGGCTCAACAACTATTAAAGAGTTCACGATCGCACGAGGTAAACTGTACCACTGAGATTTGGTTCTAGGGTTTTACTGTAGTGATATTCTTCCTGTATCTACGGTTTTGAGGGGATAGATTCTAGACCCAAAGATGGCCGTGTTATTTTGGCAACAATTACAAATTTATGCTTCATTTGGAAAAATGGCTCCGCACAATACATATTTTTAACACTTTCAAAGTGTTAAAAAAAATAAATTAAAAAAATACTTATTTCCAGACGCCCATCTTCACCTCCTGTCTTAAAAAAAGAGTGAAAATATTTGACGACAGACAGCTTTTTCCTAAAATATTAATCATCGAGAGAGATTTTTCTAAATCTTTTTACGAGCGTCAGCTAAAGAAAAAATTCTGAGTTCCCACGAGGAACCGTATCTCAGACCTTCGGATTCCGCTCTCCAATTCTCTAACTCTGAGCTACAGAGACTCTGTGGTGAACAAGGCTCATTACGAAGCTCATATTTAAGCTCAAAACTTGCCATCTTTCCTCTTATATATTGATCATCCTTTGAAGCACGTAGATCTTCTTTTTACGTACTTATGAAAACGACGTTATTCTGTAAACGATATACCTGTGGAGCTCTGTGCCACACTTAGTTAATTTAAATTCATTGCCTATATATTTGTAGATCCTGTCACAGACTACTAAACAATTTGTAAATCAAGAGGGTGCTATTGCAAATTCTCAGGAGGTGAGCAATAAAAAAGGGCAACATGAGTACAATAACTGTTTAACTGTGCATTACTGAATGTAATCTGTGAGATCCTGCTCTGGAGTTCACCAGTAAACCAGCTCACTGGCTTCATCTCAGGTTTAAGGACCTGCAAAGTGTTTTTCTTTGTTCTGGGGCAATCAATTTCATAAGTTCCATTGTTTTGATTTATTTGTTCTCTTTGTTCTTTGTCAAACCTTAAGGATGGGTAACTTTCTTGCTTGAAGACTCTGCCACAGTAAATGTCTGAAAAAGTTGTTTACATTTTGCAGACAGACTGAATATATGGTGATTTAGCTCCTTGTAAACTTGGTTTGTAAGGTTCAATTTTGTTCAGCACTGTAAAAATGGTCATGATGGTTGATGATGGTTTCAACTATCACGTACACCTGAACACAAACTATTATGCACTATCATCAACTGTCATCAACTGCATCATGTAGTTTGGACATGATTAAATTCAACATGATAGTTGATGATAGGTTTTGCTATTTGGAAGGGCAGATGATTGTGAATGATTGTTATTTGGTTAGGAGTTCTGCTGAAAATGGGTTCAGACTGAAATGGAAAATGAGAAATTGACTAAAATAGCTGTCAAAAATTTTCAGAATGTCTTGTAGTTCATTCTTATCATTCTCTGGTAGGCTTTAGTATCTTCAAATTTGCAACTCCTTAACTAAATTTCAAATGTCACCGAAATTATTGACCTCAGCATGCGTCATATTTGTTCACAATTACACATCTCATTGCATGATTTTGTGGACTTGTTGGTAAAAGTAAACTGTTAAGTGTATAAGTAATACAATGAAGTGTCATTTTCATTTGCTGCTTCTCTTTTCACAGCTCTTAAAACAATCTAGAAGAATCATAGCAGACATGGAATCACAGTATGTTGTACATTGCATTTCTGAAATTACTGCAGTCACAATGCAGAAATCTGATCCTCATTATTCTAAAAAGTATCTTAGAACAGCTTTAAATGTATGTGCACATGAACATAGATTGCATAGTGAACTCTGCTATTTAGACATAGACATTTTGACTTGATTTAGAATTCTGTGCAGAATGCTGATTGCATACACAGGGTGGTAGATTACTTTCCCTGCACCAACAGTTTGTGCAGATAACATGCAGGTCCTAACAAATTAAAATGTTGTAAATGTGATAAGGAGTCTGTCATCTAACTGACTGTACCATGGGTGTTTTTTTTTTTTTACAGGTTTGGTGACATTCAGCACAGGTGAGGCAAACCGAGTAAAGCTCATTTTCTTCTTAAAACACAAATTTTAATAATTGATGCTAGTATATAAGTTACATAGGTGAATAGTGCTTTTTGGGCATGCTAACTGGCTAGTTTAGAAGTGATTAGCAAGCACTTATGACCTCCAAGCCGCTGAAGAGACAAATCCAACAATTAATACACCAAGACTTTTATTCCAACTATTTTTGGTATATTAACGGAAATAAGCCAACTTTCTGGTTTCTATGTAGTTCATACTAAATAATAGGAATCAAACTTAGTGGAGTGCAATTTGGTCTTACCAAAAGTTCGATTACTACTTATTAAGTACATTCATCTTGAAATTATTGAGAAGCACTCCATTATTTGGCTCAGACAGTATGAGTTGCCCATTCAACAAGTTACAGTTGCTTGGGTCTTGACTCATAAAGAGGACAGACAATTTTGCAATTAAGGATTTTTGACATGAGTTATCTTCTGTACTGAAGCTTTGAATGGGGGGGGGGGAGGGGAGAGAGAGAGACATTGCTGGTGGCTTTTTTAATGTGTTGAATGTTTCAAAAGTTTTCCTTAATCCAGGATTTTGTCTATTGTAGCTAATGAACATCATTCTATCAACCCTGTCACACCCAGGAGTTATTAGCATCAAATGTCTCCTAACAATGTTAATATCATTTACAGATAATTTCTCCTTACGGTATCACCCTCAAATTACACTTTAAGGTCATGAGAATAAAGGAAATGATCGCCAACTAAAGATGCTCTTGATTCTTAAACGAATAATTCTCCTTGTCAGCACCTTACAAAATGTGTAAAGAACAGGATGGAGAATATGCATTCTGATGCTAGCTTGTAAAGGGTTAGTAGTCACTCTAAAATTCTGTTTTTGTTACAGGATACAGACAGTGAACAACATTAATGAACACTTGGAACCAATATGGAGGTAATGGCATTTTCCTGAGTACTGACGTCAATTTGGACTCTATTTGGATGAACTCCTTTACACAGATAGCTAAGAAGGCTAAAAAAATTCATATGTAGGGCACTCGGAATTTCTTAGAACTACAAATTTAATGTTTACAGTCTATAGCCGGCAAGAAAAATTTCTTGGAAAGTCGGTAATACTGGTTAGGGAACGGCCTCCCTGCATGATGTTAGTTGGTCACTTATCCAACTGCACTCCACCAAAAACCAGAAAAGAAAAGCAAGAACATTTGTATGTTTGTGGTTATTACTAATAGTTTAATGATTGTCACAGATCTTTACAAAAATATATTACTAATTGTAGATTATAAACTACTCAACAAGTGTAATTCATGGCTGACACAGTGAATTTGAAGCATGCAGATGGAGACCTCTAGTTCTAAGTATTTTTGCAGTGTGCTGGACTTCTGATTTTTGCAGGACAGCAATGAATTATAGCATAGGTGTTGCTGGTCATGCTCCTAGTAACATACTCTGTGACCACATGAGACTAAATATATAATTACAAATTGTCTTTATTTGCTAACAGAGATCAAAGAACTCTCCAGCTTCTGTATGTAATTCTTTGATTTCTCCTGGATGACCTGTGCTTTTTTTATACTCAGACATGAAGAATTCTCCTCCTGTTCTTTTACACCCTTCTCTTGCCTCTTCATTTGATAATGAAGAACCCATGAACCATGGTTACATTGACTATGTTGGCAGCCCTATCAATTTTTGGTTGAACGGGTGGGAAGAGAAAGTCTGTGTTTCCTCAACTGGATTTGATAACTACTACCTTTCATTCTTTGTAAAAATCAACTAAGTATGTTTTATGTGCGGTGCTGTCACTCATTATCTAAAGGAAATCTTTGGCTATTTTTTAAATTTGGACTGTTATTACATGCATAATTATCATTCACTATTTACCAGACAGTATTGTGCTCAGGTACTTAACAAAATTGCAACCTTCAATGTACATGTATTATAATTTTGGTGGTGCATAGCAGAAAGCAGGGTTTGCTCAATCAGTATAAGGGTTTGCTTAATCAGTATAAGCTGTGCTGATGGACATGTGCAGTGCTCTTAATACACCAAATGAAAGGGCACTTAGTGTTGAGAGTAACATAACACTGTCATTGTGTTTGTTATCCAGGTGAGCCAAGACCACACACTTGATGTGTGAAGTGCATTTGCATGCAAGGGTCACATGGGAAACAACAAGAGGGTATGGTTCAGGTAAGAACTCTTTACACCAGTCCATCATACAGTGACAGTGCCTGTACAATTGATGGATCAGACTTGGAGCCCTCACGGAATTCCTCCATTGACAACTTGCCATCAGCATTCTGTGGAATAGAACATAGCATTTCGACAAAGCAGCACTGAAGAAGAAGTTCAAGAGAGAAGAATTCAAGTCCATTATAAAGTATTTGACAGAAATAAGAGTAACTAATTTATTAATTTAAAAACCAAAATTAACAAACAGTATATTCTAAGATACATAACTTGTTCTAAGTCAAGGTTAAACAGAGAATGAAAAGACTCACACAGTCAGTAATCCTCCTTACTCTCTACCATACATTTCTTATGATGTTGCTTTAAAGAATTTGGTATTGGATCAACTAATAATCCCCTAATTGATATTTTTCCATATTCACATCAATTGTCTTCTGAATATTGTATTAACATTGCTAGGAGAAATTCTGTTTTGGTCACTCATGGGAGTTCAAGGGTTAATCATTGGACTAATTTATATTTTATCTCAAAATCTGTAGGCTGTGTATACACTTAACTCTTCGTGGAGAAGGAAATAAATAAATTAGAGCAGGCATGATTAAATTTCAAATCCTGAGAATTTGAGTTTATCTATACAATTAACATACTTAGACAAATTTATGAAATATTCCTTTCTATGTGTCTTTTTAATGTAATTAAATGTATTTACTGTACATACAGTATCCATTTGATTAAAAATTCTATTCACTCTCTTTTCTGGAGTATCTTCATCCTCAGGTAACTTTACCATGGTGGCCTGTAAAAGAGTAAATTCTGTAAGGTTGTTTTACATACTGAATCAAAATTAGTTGTTAAAATATCTACACTGGTTGCCAGTATTCCAATCCTCATGGCTAAAACTTGTGTGTTGACCCTTTACCCCTATTGCATCACATTCAGTATGTATATTCTCACTGCTGTTCTTTATAATTTCCTGAGGTGCTGACAAGGAGAATTTGTTTAATAATCAAGAGCTTCTTTAGTAGGTGATCATTTCTTTTATTATTGAGACCTTAAGGAAAGATTTGGGGGTGATATTGTGAGAAATTAGATGCTGGTCACTGTCAGGGGCCAAAGGGTTGACAATGTACAGCTGTAGAGAGAACAAGTTCCCTCACTTACCACCATTTTGTAAATTGAATCCACTATATGAAGCATTTCCTCTTTAGTTATATAACCATCATCATCCAAGTCATACAGCTTAAAAGCCCCTGAAAAAAATTTTTTTTTCACATCTTGGATTAAAAAAATTAATCGATACAAAACCTCTCATAGATATTTGTCTGTCAGACAATGGGCTTATAGACTTAGAATTGATTATTTTAAGTAGTTTTATGAATTATCAATATTTCACTTTTCATCTCCCTCACAGTTCCCCACACTTGACAAAAAGGTAAATATGGGCTAGGTATTACTACTGACACAGTTAATAACCTCATATTAGAAAAGTACAAGTCACTTACACTGCAGTTTTTCATCAATACTTCCTCTTGAGGTTACTGACAGAGCACAAATAAACTCTCTAAATTCAATAGTTCCATCCTAAGGAGAAAATAACAAAAATGCCAGCTTTTTACCATGTGAAAATCAGTGATAAGATTCATCTGTATTAACCCATACACTCCTAGGATCTAAATATTTATGAAATGTAATGTCTGTTGTCTATTCTCATGATTTTGGGACTGAAGATGTGGTTTGAAATAAAAAAAATATTACTGTTCTGCCAGAAAATGGATTAGTGTTGGAGGGAGAATTAGGGTCAAAAAAGATTCTTCAAATTTAAGTTTGACCTCATTGGGATATTAATCTTATGGCAAATCTTGATCACGAGGGAAATCTGGAATTTATACCTATATTATGAATAAAATGCCCTTTTTATTGCTGTCCATGATAATTGTGATACAAATCTAAATGCTCATTCAATCAAATGGTGAAAATCTATTAATAACAACGCAGGGCTAAAATTGTCTGACAACCCTTAATTTTTCACTTGTCTCTTGATGACTGTAGATCAATCATTTTTTTTATCCATTGTGATCACATGAATCATGAAAAAGCACTATAACAGAGATCTTACTTGAATAATTTAGACATAGCTTACGGAAAGAAGGCATACAAATGACACTTCACAATCCATGATGTTTTGAAATGAATGATTTTGTAGGTAGGTTAATCATTTGCCTACCAAGGTTTAAGTCTTTGTAAAAGGGGATATAGAATATCTGCTTAGTAATAAGATTTGCATAAATGTAACATTGAAAAATCTATTTTCTTGAAAAATTGCATCATACCAAGGTTTATCAATTATTGAAAAGTAGGAGAAAAACTTAAAAATTTTAAAAATTTTGCTCCTCAGCTGTATTTAAAAAATGTTTTGGCAATCTTCCTAAAATACTTTTGCTTATTTTTCACTCTTTGTGTTGTCATTGTGGATGGTACCTTTTCTTTTTCCATAAAGAAGACAAGCACTAAATTTAACCACAACAATATTTATCTCCAGGGGTTTGTCACTTAACATGGAACACATTTTCTAGTTATTGATATAATGCACATTCGTGCGGCACAGTGTTTTCGGTAACAATCCAAATTTTAAGAATTTTTAAAGTTCTAAAAATACAAAGGTTTGATTTCTCAGTTATTAATTTTCATCCGACGATTTTTAAGGTGGTGTCTGTCAGACTTCACAGGCAGAGGACTAAATATCTTTTGCAACAATCAAAACACGAAGTTGCGGTCTGTTTCGGTGTAGCGATCGCAAAATAAAAGTAATACTAACCCTTAAACTTTGAATTCTGAGTTTCATGCCTGTGATTTTTTTCTCGCTCAATATGGAGAGTGCGTTTATGATTTTAGAATAAAGACTAAAATCATTTTTCAAGGATAAATAATGAAGGTCGAAGTGACGATCGACTAATTTAAGAGACAAAAACTAAGTACTGTACATTCTTTAAATAAAATATTATAAATTCAAGATTATGGTGCGTTTTCATAAACTTTCTCCTTATAGCAAAACCATTCTTCCGTGACCACTAATCCTTCGCGATACTTGAAAAATCATTGAGCTACTTCGTATGTATACTGTGAAAGCAACTGGCGATAAAGGAAACCATTCACGCTTGAATTCTCAACGGTAATTAGTCATGTCGAGTCTTCGAACACGCTCCAGGGACACTTTTCCACTGGTGTCACTGGTGGCATGGAAAATTTAAATGAGACAGAAAAAAGTTATTGTTTATAATTACGAATTTCGGCAGGGGATGTTGTGAATAGAAATACGTAATAAGACCGATTTATCTGCAATTATAATGAGAATAAACAGTCTGATTTCGTGCGATACTAAAGCCACCGGTTCCACGTCGCGATAAAAAGGAACTTCCTCCCAGTTTCCATACCACAATACATCTTAGTTCACCAAAAGGTTGTAAAATTAGCTTCAATCTCTGATCGGTATTCGCTAGAATTGTTTGGAATATAATTAAACAAATTAGTTTCATTCATGAAATTTATACAAGATGTTTTACAACACATGCTGTTCTCTGAAAAAACAAGATATCAATTGTCAACACAGCATGTTTCGATGGCTTAACTTCGCCACGTTTGTAGAAAAATAAAATCCAGATATTTTACGAAACTTTTGACTAACAAGTCCAGGAGATTTTTCCAAGGGATATTCATGTTCAGTCAATATATTTACCTTATTTTCGTCGAATACGTTGAAAACAAAAGAGGCAAACTTGGATGGATCGCCAAACGGAAAGAACTGTTTATAAATCTTCTGGAACTCCTGAGAATAGAAGAGACAAGAGCAAGTTCCTTGCAACCTTTTTAACAAGTTTCAAATTATTTTTCAAAATCGCCTCTAATAGTCTTCAGAGCGCTATGTTACTCCAGTGCTTCACGTAACTTCCTTAGCGTACTAAACGCGAAATCGCACAACTTTGATGTTCATAGAAGATTACTCAAATGTTAAGCTAAATTCTACTTACCAATTCATTAAGGTTGCCCGATGGACAGTCTTTGAGGAAACCTTTATACCTATGAGAGATATATATATCGTTTACATTAGCACTTTCGAATTCAAGTTATCGACAGCTCTTAATTTTTTTAAATGAGCCATCTGTTCTTGAGCAGCACGAACACCTTTGTATTACAGGAACTTACCATTGTTGTAATTCCTTCTCGCTGACTGAAACAGAAGTAAATACAATAAATTAAAAGAAGTCCTTAAAAAAATATTTCCCGAAGTGATACACACGAAGTGCCGCCAATCGATTCCTCGTGGACAAACGATTGAGGACAGCTAGACGTCATACATGTAGCTGTCTGACTAAAATAATAGTGATACAATAATGGAAATGTAGATCAGCGACTCACAATAGGTTTTGCGAACCAGTTCGGTGACTAATTCAGGCTTTAACTTGCAATTCTTTTGCCCCATTTCACTCAAACCCAAATGATTAATTACAGTGTTGTTCCCAACGACCACACATCTTCGGCAAAAGTATGCTGCGTCTCTCTTGAGATTTTTTGAAGTACGTATGTGACATTATAACGTTGTCATGGAGATTGCGTTACACCCAGTGACGTTACTTTACATTTACAGTAACTTTGAAATCTCCCTAATCAATCTGCTCCTAAATATATGGCTATTGAAATACTTTGAACTAGAGAAATCTGTTCTGTGAAACGATTTTTGATGTTGTGGCATTTCACTGTCGCATCTGATGAACTGCAAATATGCTTGGTGAAGGTCTGAAAGATAACTATGAAATGCGCCGTGGCTTAAACATATATCATCCGCTTCTAAATCCCATTAGCCTTCAAGTCAAGTGTATACTTTTCAGCATTATTTGTTAATTAAACGCCAAATAGGATGAGTCGGGCACTTCTTTACTATGATAGAGTGGATTTTTCAAACGCTCAGCATGGGTTTTTCTCATTATTTGAGTAATTTTACGGGTTAAAATAAATTATCATATAAGTGCTGATGACGCGTTCTAAAATTATGGGGAACAGATTAAATTCAACACATTCTAGAATCATTTATTTTAAAATAAAAGGGAAAAGGTCTAAAATCCAGGGAATTCAATCGTAGTTTCAAATTGGCATAAATTCGAGTGTGTAAAATGTTCTGTAAGATATTTTTTTGTATCAGAGTTTCCCACGACGATCCCACAAAATCCAGATAGTGCAACGCAGCTTTCGGTTTGGTCGACAGAAAAATAGAATCATATAAAATTTGCATCAATATTACATTGGGCGGAGTTAATATAATCGGAGTAAAATAAAGCCAAATTAAATAGTGCTCACAAAAACAAAAAAGTGTGAGGATATATAAAACGAAAGAAACCCAGTTGAATAAAATACTCGATTAAATCTTATGACGATAAAAACCAAAAGAATATTCGAACAAAGTAAGCACTGGCGTTTTTTCCCCCTCAGGTCAGAGATAAATTAAAATGGGTTGATAATGATAGCAAACCCTTAAAATATGATCAGCCAATCAGGAAGGACTATAAGCTTGCGCGTTGGGCATGAAATCCTGCGCGAATGACGAGCCAATCCCGATCAAGAAGCAGCCCACGTGGAAAATATCATAGAATTCAGCCGAGCAATGCAAGCGGTATAAACACTACAACCGGCTGAGATAGAAATCAACCGCTTTGGTCTCATGAGTACAAAAATCGAGAAAGAGCTTTAAAAACAATAGTACCGAGTGTTACCTGCGCAAATCAATGGTAAACCCTTGAAATGCGGGTTGGCTGTGATAGTAAACCTTTACAATTCTGGAAGCCAATCAGGAAAGAGTTTGAACTGTCTGGTTCAGCGTGAAACCTGGTGCGGTTTTCAAAGTCTTTACTCGACTTTTGACAAATAAGAGGGCAAACATGGTTATTTATGTAGGGCAAATCTATATTTTTGTTATCACTCATTTTATTTTTGACCAACAATTATTCATGTAACTTCTAAGGTTCTTGGAAAGGAATGGAAAAAATTAATAAATGATGTAAGTCTTCTTTACTGACTTCTGTTTTGAGTTAATCTTATGTTAAGACAACTTGCAATTGTTCCCTTGCTTAAGTCATGTTCCCAAAATTTAACTCCTATAACTATGCCTTTACTGTTTTATGATTCAGAAACTCTTATATTTATCTGCAATTAATATTATTTTTGTTTGCAGTCGTAATTTTCATTGGAAAGTAATGGAAATCTTATGCAAGAATTGAAGAACTCTCGCTCCTGAACTAAGGGTTCACACTCAATGTTGACCATGCTCGCAATTTTTCATCAACAAAAACAAAAACTTCTCCAGGTAAGCATTATCTACTCTTTAGCTTTTCAGTTTTAAATACATCACTAATTTTTCATCAGAGTTTCTTGAAAATTTTTCAATGGATATTTTTTATGATGCAAATGCAACACTGCTTGAAAGAACGTCTTTTTACGGCAATTTAAATGGAAATCTTTCCTAAAAGTTTTCGAACAGCATGTATGGTAAAAATAATTATTGTTAATCAACCTCATAGCATATGCTTCTTCGTTTTGGAATATAATTTCACTCTTTCAAAATCAAATTCTCGCATCGAAAAGACACAAGAAGGACGTGCTTAACATTTGGCGCGAAATAGTTTCAGTGAGGAAAATCCTTCCTTACACGAAAAAAAATTGTTCTATTTATGATCGTCAGTTGCTTTGTTGTCTACGAAACTCTTCTATAATATCAGTTATTGTTTGCAAAATATGGAAGTTCTAATTTTATAATTTGGCAGGAAAGGTCTTTAAGTATCAAAGTTGCGATGAAAAGGAAAAATAATTTTTGGAATCTATCATGAAACTTTTCTGTTGTCTTGAAGGGGAAAAGTAATGATCTTTGTCTTTTCATCGTATACAAAATTTCTCGTTATTATCTTAGAGTTCAATTTCTGATACGCATTGTACACCTTTGCGCGTGTACTTTTGTTGCCCTGTCTATGAGCATTTATAAACGGTTTCTTCTGGATTTTCGTGAATAAGCAAAAAATTGGAGAGCCGGAGAGAAATGGAGGTACATTAATTACCTCTTATCAGCAGGGAGTTTAGTAACTGAATAGCATGCGAACATAAATTATACTTCACGACTGAAACTTAGCTTTACATTTATAAGTTTTAATCAAGCACGCAAGATTTTAAATATTCCTAGTGCTGCATTATGTCATACTGTTGGACCTACACAAAGATACAAATGACAATTGAAAAGGGTACTACATTAAACTACACTGAGAGAAACTTGAGACTTAGATAATTTCATACTTTCAAACAGATTTGTAACTTTTATACACACTCTTTAAATAGTAACTAAAAGATACAGGAGATCATATACACTTGTTCACAAGAGGAACCAAATCATAAATAATAAATTATTTCACGCCTTACCTAATGAATATTTTACAACTCCAGTGTAAGTGAAAACGAGTGTTTGCATTGTTGTGATAAATGTTCCCTTACATTATGGTTTTTATCAAAATTTGCACAGTGGAAAGATCATTTTAAGGTTTAAACTACAATGCTGTCATGACGTAGGCTTAGGGACATGTCAATCAACATTTTAGTCTCCAAGGAAAGTGCGCGGAGGGGAATAGAGGAGTCTTGGAATTCAATAATGCCTCTTACATATGCTAGATAACAAAGAGTGTATCATGTGAATAAGCTAACACTGATCAGCTAAGTAGTAGCTACATCACTACTTTATCTCTCCATCTCTCCATACATGGTAAGGCATATCCTTGGTAATGAAGGTATTCATCCTCCATCTCTATGAACAGGAAAACCCTTCCTTGCAGTGGAGCATCCTTTTATAAGCTAAGAATATTCCCATTTCATTCTCATACTGTGCCCTATTCAGTATACATTCCTTTTCCTTGTGAATTCACGTTTAAAATTTCACTGCTCTGTGAGAATAACCTCTCAACCATAATTGTAAGTCGTTTAACTTTATGGGCCAATGTTCAATGAAGCACCTCCCTCAGAGAGACCACTGAATGTGAAGAACAAAAGCCCAACACATAAATGAAAAATATTGACTTGTTCAATGAAAGTTTCCAAGCTAACTGTAGGAGAATTAATTGCTACCAGCTATATGCACATGTAAGACAGTGTAGATCACACTTTCTGAGAAATTGAAATATGTGGGTCAGTCATCATCAGCTTGTGAGGAATCCTCCTGTGGTAGATCAATAGCTAGGGCCTGTACTATCCAAGGGTCACACTTGGAACCCTCACGAAACTCCTCCATAGTTAACTTGCCATCTTTGTTCTACATGTTGTTAAAGACAACAACACAAAGTTTGTTAGTGCTTCATCTGGCCCCCTTACATCAACTTTGGTAAATATTACAAAAAAAAAGCATTACCATCTAAAAAAACCAATACTACTACTGTTCACTTTTTAGAATCACAGTGAGAGAATTTTTATTTTTAGTACTCACCTTGTCCATTTGTTTAAAAATCTTGGTTACTCTTTTTTCTGGTGTGTCTTCATCTTTTGGCAAATCTATAATATTACCCTACAAAATGCAAAAAAAAAAAAGAATTCCCATTTTTCACTACTGGAGATAACACCATTCGTGGTGTATGTGAAAAAATTTCTTCATTCAGATTGGCTTGGAGAAATGCAGTTTTCACCAGAAATTTCAGAGGTAGTTCAGCAAAAAGGGGGTAAGTCAGTGTAAAAGAAACTATCAAACTGTTTAGCTACCCTTACTGTTTTGCCTGAATTTATTTATGACCCAACACAAAATGAAAATTGCAGGGTTCGAATAAATTATTTCTGTATGTGAATCACGCCCTTTGCTTCCGTAAGACTATCTCAAAAATTTTTTAAATGTACAAAGTAAATTGTTGATATGCATATGTAACTACATACTAGTGTTACAAAATATTTCTCATGCAATTTGAAATGAACAAAAATCTTGAATTGTTTTAAGGTTACCCTTGCAGTTGTTCTATAGGCTCAAACAAGTTTTGATGGTCTTTAAAAATCTTCCTAGTACTTATTTAAACAAAATTGCAACTGAAATCATGTGACAGCTAATCAGATAATTGATGAAGTTGGAACACTTTTTCTGGAGGAATTTACTTGCACCTGATGAAAGATCATTCACAGAATGCAATTTTTGTTTCTAAATCTATGGTATACAGAAACAAAAACAGATTTGTAGTGTTATGGTTGACATACCACCATACAATAGATTGCTTCTACAATCTTAAGCATTTCATCTCTTGTGATGTATCCATCTTTGTCCAGGTCGTAAAGACTAAATGCCCCTAAATAAAATTAATGACAATGAACAAAATAAAAATTAAAAACCTAATTAAAAACCTTTGTACAAATCAAGTCTGAGTGCACATTGAGAGTAGGTCTCACTTCGAGAATAAAAAACATTTCATAAAGTAGGCAGTCAAGTTTGTTCAAACACTTCTCTTATAAAGAATTTTAGTGTTTTAAAGAAGTGTACAAACAAATTTGACTGCCTACTACAAGAACTGAGACCTGCTCTCAATGTGTAGTCGCACTCAATTGGTGCAATTAGGTTTTTAATTTCAAATTTAACTTCCAAAAAATTTTATACTTCTTACACACATGTATATATATATATTCATTGTAACATTCTTATTATTCACTTGAAAACGACTGAAGTTTGTTTGAAATGTCGTGTTTTACCCTTCATTTTTATTGTCAAAAGTCTTCCAGTAACTGAAACAATTCATAATAAACACTGAAAGAAGAAACAATTGTGAGATATGTGAAATGTGTGCTTTCCAACTCTCCTTTGTTCCATACCAGGGCTCAGTTGTATAAAGGGCAGATAATGCTATCCAATGGATAAATCACTATCCAGCAGATAAGTGATAGCAAAATGTAAAGTGTCATCCACCATTCAGATAGAGATTTATCCAGTGGATAACATTATCCAATCTTCGAACTACTGGGACCAGGATGAAAGTGAATGGAGGCATACAAAAATCAAAGGCACAGGATCCAAACAAATCAGATTTCAATGTACTCAAATGAAAAGGTTATCCCTGAATAACACCTTGTTGGATATGTTGCATCACCCCTTTCAAGGGGAAAGAAACTTTATAAATGGTGTAAAATGTAGCACATAATTAAGATTAAGGTAACTTACAACTTGTTCAAATAATCTATCTCTGCATAGAGAGGGCCAAAGCATAAACTTTCAAGGTTTCTCTTTGTACATGTAAATACTATGTTCCCAAGTTTCACATCTTTTGCTATTCATCAACTTACCAGTAGCCCAAAATTTACCATCTTTCTTAATCTATGATAAAAACACATGTGGCGCTGTTGACAATGGTGATGCCAGCAGTTTGCGGGTCATTTATCGTCCATATACCCTATGTTACTAAAGGTCTAGTTCACTAGCGATTTCTGTGACTCAGTCTGCAAAGCTTGAGACCACAAAATATAAATAATATATTTTTTTACCTGAGTAGGAAGTTTGTGAAAGGAAAAAAAAAATGAATGCAAACAATACTCACACTCTAATTTTTCATCCAAACTTCCCCGGGAAGTAATTGATAAAGCAGTAATAAACTCCGTAAAGTTAATTGATCCATCCTTCAAGGAAAAAAAAAAAAAAAAAAAAAATTCAAAATCTTAATCAAGATGTTTGTACCAAGTGTATATTTAGCACAACCAAACTTTGAATCAGTCTGCATAAATCTCAACTGTGAATAAAACTATATTATACATCTCTGCCATTACTCCTGGCCTAAAGCAAGGAAAAAAGAAAGACAAGAGGTAGCTGTATAAAAAGACTAGAACAATACTTACAGAGTTTTTGTCAAAAACTTTAAACACAAAAGCTGCAAATTTAGAAGGATCACCAAATGGAAAAAACTGCTGGTAGATTTTTTGAAACTCCTGTTTAAAATGAAAAGAGGCCTCATTAATTCATATAATGCAATTGAAAGACTAATTTGTAATGAATTTTAAAGCAAGATTTAGCCTTACTCTATTTCTTCTGACTTTTTTATACCCACTATATTTTGTGTACACAATGTGCACCTAAACAGAGATAATTTTGTAATGCCATTTTGTTCCTCTAGAAAAGCTTACATGTGTGTTACATGCTGCAAATTCTTTAATTATAATAATAATAATAATAATAATTTTTTTTTTATCCTACAAAATGGATCAGCTAGTACACGAGTAAAAGCTGGTATTAACCCATGTGTAGCATATAAAAATGCTCTATAACTTCTATCTCTATGAATAAAATATCAACTACTGGAAGAAAATCAACTCTAAAATTAAGTTAGTGAACAGCGATGTGATTTAACATCTAATTCTCTGAAATAACCATATAACTCAGTCTTAAACCTCTTCAAAGAGGTTATGTCTCTAATGCATTTGGGAAAACTATTCCAATCTGCTGCTGCAGAATACTGAAAAGTTGTTTGGCCAGTATAATAACAGATTGACATGCTGCTACTATTCTGTTGAAAAGTATGATCCATTTGAAAGTTATATGAAGGTAACATTTCCAATAATTAAGAGCTTTCTTTTTCCCAACACCTAACCAAAAAATAAATTCATTGTATGGTGGTAGTTAGAATTAAAGAGTTTTGGGAAAAAATGTTTTCTTGTTGGGAATCAGTTTTCAAATTCTCTCTTTGTCTCCTTCTCCCAACAGATACATGTTCCTGTATTTGCCACAGAAAATTTACAATCTAACAATTTGATATCACATTTAAAGCTGCATCTAAAACATGTAGCTATAGATCATTTCAGTATCCCAGACCATAATTCATGGTAATTTTCAAGATAAGATAAAAATTTGAAGACAAACACACATGAACCTTAGATTAAATATCTATTTGCTATATAAAATACTAAGATGCAAACTTCTGATGATAAACAAGTAATTAAAACTCTTTCAAAGGCAAATGCTTGGTTGCATGTGCCAAAACATGTTAATATAAAATTTAAGTATTAAAATATACAATTTAAATATTATCTGGGAAAGTACTGGCTGAGTTTAGGCACTATCTGTTGGAACTGTGCTCATGTAAAACAAGCATGTGTACATTGTTTCTGTAGCAATGCTTTCTGAAACGGTTTGGCATAACTAGAGAAGAAAATTTGGAATGTTTGGAGCTAAAACAGCAAGAAAGCAGTCAACCTCCCACAATGCACACATGGACATAAAATATCAACCAGATAACAGTTTGAATATCAAGCATTACACAACAAATATGTAGAATAAATACTCATAGTTATAAGGACTTAAATTTTTCCAAGATTTAAATTTTCCTGATAAGTTATGATTTTCAATCAAGATAGTGTACTGACATCAAGCTAAAAAAAAATCAGTCAGAGAAAAAATTGACCATGCAAATTGCAAAATAAGACTTGAGGTGAGATAACACTTTGCATGTCATAAATTTTTAACTGTCAAAAAAATAAATTATACATCAACCACTAACTCAAAATGCACATTACCCATAGCTAAATCATATCATGGTGAAGCAAAATAAACATCTCAACAGTGGTAAACAATACTGAACAAGTAAACACCTGTAAATCTTCTGATTTTAGTTTTATATTATATTATGATACAAATGTTACAAGCCAAAGGAATAAATTTAAAAGCCCTATTCTAGCAAGGAATAGAAATGAATTGATAGTTATCTGCAATTTCAATATGCCCTAAAGTTCTTTTATCAAACTAAGATATTGATGGATCCAATCCAATTGTGTGGTGTAAACAAATTAGAAGCCTTAAGTACATATTCAGAGTTTAAAGACGGTGTCAAAGGGTACGAATATGAATACAAAGTAAATATATAATTTTGACGAAAAATCGATGTGGCTCGACATACTTTGGAGAGGCTACTTAAGCATTATTAAAAGTCAAGAGTTATATATAACGAATTTATTTCAAAACTGAAAAGGACGAATACAATTAAGCTTAAAGTACAAAGTAGGGAACTTTTAATGCTAGGGTTTCATTACATATCTTTCTGTAGCTAAATAGAACCTTAAAATTAACAAAAAAAAGTGTTCGTTAAAAAGAGCCACGCAATTTGCAAGAATTTTGAATGAAGTTCAATCAACTTAGTCTAAATTTTCCAGCAATCGTCATAGAATGAGAAGACGGCTTTACTGATTGGTAATTAGCGAACACTGACCTCTTGTCTAAGCTCACCAGAGGGGCAATCTTTCATGAAGTCTCGATACCTACGGGAAATATAACGAAATAATTAGCAAGTCAAATCCCCGTTTGCAAAACTTCCACAAAATGGTAATCAGCCTTGTTAGCAAATTATTTCCATCGAAAACAACACTCTAAACAAAGCCGAAACGGTTGTTGACGAGAGTCTGCCAACTTATGGTAATTACTATGACAAAACACGTCCATTAAATAGCGTTTTACCAAATAATAACTTTGCACTTACCACTTTTGTAATTCCTTTTTATCGACTGAAGGAAGAAAAACAAGGTACGTTCTGGATTAGCGTTGTAGTAAACATATACACCAAATCAAGTCTAATTCAAATACTGTTTCTGACACTAACAACAAGGTAATTGACAAGATCATAAACTTACAGTAAGTACACTTAAGCAGCTCTCGCATCTCTTCCTGAGTCAGCTTACTTCCCTTGTGCCCCATGATGACAAACACAGTAATTCACTCAAGTTAGCAGCATATCTTTATCACCAGAAAACCACAACTCCACAAATTGACCGCCATCTTAGCTTAGACTACCCAGAATACATTACGATGTTATTGGGGGAAGAGTATTGAACAGTAGCCAATCAGAAGGTGTGAACAAGATTCAGTACTCGATAAACATTTTAGTATGCAATGATGTGTGGAGTAATTGCCCCTCAATAGTTATCATTCATAAAAATATAGGTAAATATCCATTGCTTTCACCAATCCCGAGGTAAATAATCGTTTTGTAAGACACCACTCAAGCTGAATAACTCGCAAACCTAAACATCATTTTAATTTTGACGCGTTCAATTATTTTAGTCTAATTGCAAAGATCATTAGCGTAAAAAATATTCCTGCTGTTTATTCCTTAGCAATATCAAAAACTTGCGCATAGGTTACAGCAAGATATTATGTAATTTACGACCAATCAGGGCGCGCTTTTGTCGAGATAATTGTAATTTAAAAGACAAAAAAAGTTAAAGCTAGATAAGATACTCGGACACTTGTCCGCGGACATTATCCGTTCGAAAAATAGAAAAGGAAAACGTAAATGAGGTGTGAACTAGAAAACGTTTTGTAGTGAAGCGGAATATCTTTAAATGACAGAAGCACATCGAGAGCAGAACGCGTGAATTCGAAACATTTGTTCAGCTGTTAGCTTATTTTAACACAACGTGAAGCCAGAAAACAAATTGGTCCACTAAAATTATCAACAATTGACGATAGATAACGTAATAGGTATTGAGAAGATATTACAGTTCGGCTCATCATTTCACCTCTTTAGCACATACCGTATGTGCGTAGTTTAATTTGCTGTTTTTGAACTTCGAAATGCAGCTTCTGAAGCTGAAAGAGGTACAACACGTGTTCACGTTTCCTGTAGCTCGGTTCCATTACATGATTTATGAGCATTAGTTATTTTATTGACATTTGTGAAAATGCCTCAGCCCTGTAAAGATATCGACCCCGTAATGTTACTTACAGTTCTCGTTCTCTGCTCCATACTTAGTGTATACTCCACAAGTGAATAGTGCTTTTCGCGCACACTGATCGGCTAGTTCGGAAGTGAATAGTTAGTACTTTAAACCTCCTGAAAAGCAGGTGCATTTGTGAGAAGCTTCTATGGGATCAGGGAGAATCTCTTTATCGATTTATTACTGCTTGAATATGGGGGCCCAATGACTCTATCCCGCCCCTCCCGGTCTCCCGATTCGGATCCAAATTTGGATATCAGGACCTCTCCGTTATTTCAAACTTTACCCACGTTCCCGGGCGTAAACTTGTGCGAAGGTTTTATCGTAACGTTATTCCAAAGACATTCCTCAGCTTCTCAAACCATTTTACTCGTTCTTGGAAGGTTTCAGATCATAATTACGGACTTCTTACTGTGCAGCTTACTTAACCTTATTTGCTCCTTGCAGAGCAAAGGCCATCGACGGAATCTTACCATCTCATCTCGGCCCCAAAATGATCCCGAGTCGAAATGATCCTCAGCCCTGTAAAGATAACAACCCCGTAACGATCCCGGCCCCAGAATATTCCGTAGCCCTCAAATGATCCTCAAATTGACCCCAAAATGATTCCCAGCCCTGAAATGCGACGAATCAGAATTTTCCTTTGTCCCACTAAAAAAATTTTTGAGCAATATCTTTCGTCGTTTCGGATTATATATTCACTTGCTATTGGCTAGTCCAAAAAGCCATTCGAAATAGCGGTTGCAGCTTTGGAAAGGCTGTTTTTTTTCTCATTCAGCCTTTGCTCTTTGTTTCTAAGGAGACTGTGCTACATAACGAAAATCTGGCATGGTAGTCACAGTCACTAAGGACTACTGATAATTATGGCGAACATTGATTCATCCTGAGGCAAAATGAAAGCGAGTGATCATGATCTTTACGTTAAACAAAGTGCAAACTTGCACACGTGCCGATCAAGAGCAAAATTTGAAATGAACAGATTCAGAATAATGTTTCTTTTAAAATGCAGTTCTTCTTTCAGGTGTGGTGAAGTATCGTGTGTTACGGTATAATCTAACCGACAGAAAATACACTACAATCTTCTAAACTCAATTACTTTATTGAACAGCAAGTAATGTTCTTAACAAGGAGCGACTCCAGTACCACACTAATCGTTAACAAACTTAACTAAGCCCACCACAGTCTATATCCCAGCTCACCACTAACACAGTCTCACTGCTGTCTCCAAAGGCCCTTGAAATAAGCAATCTTCCGCTGTAACTCTCTCTCGGTATAGCTTTCAAAACAGTCGTCGCTCCGACAACACCACGACGAATAACCACAGCCTTTTTTACGATATTTTAGAAGTATTACATAACAAATGCGTGACTTCATGAAACGTTCTGAAAAGTTCTTTGGTATGCAAGTCAGCATGACTCAGCAGTCTGGGGATTTCTAGAAGCTTATGTTTACAATAATTACTCATAACATGTGGAGTTACCACAAACAATGAAAGAAATTTACCTCGAATAGCATTGCGTAAATTTGGGCTTCTAGCTTTGAAATAACAGCCGTTTCAAGTGAAAAAGCGAAAAATTTCGCATCTAGCGAATTAAAAAACGCAAAATACTCAAATACATCATAATATCCCCTCTAAACAATTCGGTTTATGATCCAAAACTAACACAGGGAGATAAACTTTTGGTGATAATTCAAAATGTGATGGTCATTCAGTCGGTTGCGGTCGCTCAGATTTAACTTTTCATCTCGAACGCAGTATTTTATAACACGAGTGCGACGCAATAGTTAGTTTTCTTCAAGTAGAATTATTTCCCTTCAAGCGCTTTAGACTTTCGTCGAGGAATGTGATACATATAATCCAAACAACTGGTAACAGGCCTTTTATTAAAGATGAGCTCTTCAATTCTTTGCATTTGTGCAGTGACCACGATGGAAAAACTTATGTTCAAGCGGTTGGCTGACTTCTTAGATTAGAGACACGTAATTTATTAGAATACAAGCAGTTTGGATTCCTTTAACACCATTCAACTGCCGGAACATGCTGTATAGTCATGTAGTATTGTTGACGAAGTGCAAAAAGCTATTGAAGGTCATGTTTGTTCCTACGGAATGTTCCTATGGCTAAAATTCACATGCAAGCTAAAATGTGCTTTTTTGTCAAATGCCTTAAAAAACAAGAAAGTGATTGTAGACCTTCAACATTAAATTTCGTCGATTTACAGCTCACTCAATTCATAAGAGAAATTTCACTTAAACGCCTTGAATCTTAGAAAAAATTGCTTAATAAATATCATCAAAACTTTTGTCCCCTCCCTTACGTATTCTTATTGGGCTCAAGGTAATGAATTTGGATCAACGTCAGTATCTGAGAAAATGCGCACCATCCTTTCCCTGGCCCAATATTAACCCTAACTTGTTATTAGTCGACTGTTATTGGGTTAGGGGAGGGGTAGGTGCGCAGTTGTCTAACACTAACTCGCAAAGACAATCTGCGAAATCCGCAAAGATTTTAAATATTGCAAAATAATCATGCTGCACGGTAATAACAGTAAGTTATTCTCATCTTGGTAACGTCTGAATACTCCATAAAAGGGCGACTCCCTCCCCATTTATCTGAGTTATTTGAGTCCTCGTTGTCATATTGTATATACTCCTCAGTACCCAGGGCCCTCTCTACTTTCTGACACTCAGACGAACCGTAAGCTAGCAAGTAAAAAGGTTTGTCCACGGGGAGAATGATGGGATCGGATTTGTTACCATTCGTCTGACAACAAAACGATATCTTTGTAGCATTGTCATATGTACCATCAGGAAGTGTTCCACCATTACTGTTCTTGTTACGTATGTCTTCGTCATCCCACTGTATAAATCCTTCGCTGAGTCCTACTGGACAAGTGCCTTTCTTGTAAATACAATATTGGCCTGGAAAAACAATTGCTATTTAATTTTTCGTATTTTATTTTATCATAAAACCGGACAAATCACGACCCGATATGTTTCTTTTATGTTCATAATCCTGTTTAGTATCCTATTAAGTTACACGAAGACAGTTTAAAAGCGAAATTATAGCGAAGAGTTTTAGAAAGCACTGCTCGGGTGCAAGAAAAAACAAAAATGGCTCGAGAGGTGAAAAGTTGGAAGAGATAGAAAGATTCCGTTGGTGGCCTATACTGTACAACCAACGAACAAGCGTTAATAAGTTTATACAGCGGGGGTATGAAATATTCTAGGGAGAAGCCAAATAGTAAAAGAAATTGAGAGTTGTTTTTGGGGTGAAATCATGTTGAAAGTTTGGCCCTTGTTTATGCCCGGGAAGTGGACCAAATTTGAGATAAAGCAAAGATCGTTACATCCATTGTTAAAACTCACGTGACTCCAATGAATTCTATCAATAATTACTGAGAATCGAGTAATACCGAGATTAGTCACTAATCCAGCACAACGAGAATATCGGGAAATCTCAAAGAGCTTTAAATAACGGAATAACGAAAAAGGGGTCGTGCTGATGTGAAAGTGTCCTGTTCAACTACGAAAAGAGAAAAAATTAAAAAATGCTTGAAAAATCATTACCCAGAGGCCATGGTTTCGCTCCAGTATCGACTTTGTGTACGTGTTTTATGCAGAAACTTCTGTTCACATGACTGTCCAAAACAACTGCATCTAAATGAAAACTATCCGAGAAGCCATTGCCGTTGTTAGAGTCTTCCGTATCTTGTACCCTCCAGCCTGTCTCCCACTCAGAGCCATTAGGGGGTTGAGGACAGCCAGTCTTGGAACGAGGAAGTCCGTATGTTCCGGATGGCCAGGTATCTGCCGCACAAAAGAAAAAATTTGGCCGTTACACTTCCGAGATCTCAATATTCATAACCCTCTCTAAATAAAAAATACACATACGTATACAAACTTACATACACATATACATACAATCAAAAGATCAACTTTTTAAGATCACGATACTTTTAAAGCACCCACCTTTACCAAATTTTACTGTCATGTAAATCCGTCTTGGGTCTGTCACATAATTGTCTGGTCTTGCCTCCTTGCTTTGCTTATTCAGTTCACAGATACTTTCGTCAATAACAAAGTTGATGCTCTGACACTTTCCTTCTTTATCACATCTCCTGACGCAAACATACAGGCTATTGACTTTGAATGTGTCATATGTGTGTCCTTGAAGGGCTTTTTGGAAGGCTGATTCTTGCAACTTGCACTTACCGATGGCGTTAGCACGTTCCATCCTGGATACCAAATGGAAGAAAACAACTGCACATAGCACTCCAACAACAGTTTGGGTTCTCATGTTGTGGCTATCAACTTATTTGCGGCTTCTGTATGAAAATGAAAGAGAGAATATTCTTGCAACCAGTGTATCATCCCCTTGATATCGTAGCCAGATTCTACGGTGGAAGGACTGGGTAGGAGACTATCATCCCCTATGACAGAGTTTGCCAAGGAAAGTATATTGATGTTCTTGATGGCAAAAGCACAGACGGCGGAGCAGGGTGTGAGAGGGGCTCTAATCTCCTTAAAAGCAAATTTGTGGGTGCGCAAGCAGCCCTCTCCACCTCCCACTCCCACTTAGATAAATTATGCTCGAATATGAGAGCAGGCTTTTGAGCGTCTACCTTAAAAGCAAGGTTTATGCCGAAAATAATGCCCAATGCGTTTCATTATGCTCGATTTGACAATTCAAAATAATAGTCGATAAGAGCCCTGCACCCCCCCCCCATCACCCCACCTATTTTCTATCACCAAGAGGTAAAACTTCCCAAGAATCGGACTTGATAAACAATACAAGCATGAAAAATAGAAATATTTAGCGTCAGTACAATTCAACTACACCAATTTACTGGCGAATTTATGACAACAAACTTCAAACGCTTACTATGCTCATCTCACTGAGGGCAACACTAAAAATATTCGACAAAATAGGACCAGCAAGATATTTATGCTTACACTATCTCTCTTGGCATTTAATTTACACCTGTGTTGAAGTTTGGATAACTGGGCGTTGCATGGCAATCGCTAAACACAACTAGACTTTGTTTTTATCATAACTCGCCCTACGGGCTCTTCAAAATACGGTACAACTCATGTAAAAATACTCAGCGATACTACACAACAAAACGTCTAATAAGATATATTTACTGGCTGTTAAAAGTGTTTTCCTTTGTTGTTATCAGTTGAATAAGTGGGCGGTGCATGATGGGTAATAGCTATTGACATAACAATGTTATGGAAAAATCCAACGAAAGAGTTTTTTGGGGAAAGAGAAGCTTCGGTAAATATAACAGAGGTTCGAACGCTCAGCTCGAACGCTTAGCTCGTGCAACGTGAAGGGCATTAGACATTAGGACTGAAAAGATAACGATATTTACCAAAAGGCGGAATAAGACTTCATATAGAGGACTGAAAAGCAGGTGTATTTGTGAGAAGCTTTTGTGGGGGTCTGGGAGAATTTATCCTTATCATCCTGATCCACCTCACCATTAATCACCATTCCATAACTTCATTGGGGATCATTCTAAAACTGGGGATTATTCAGGGGGTCGATTTGGGGATCATTTTAATGCTTAGACAGAACCTTCATAAATCTTAAGAGGTAAAGAGAGTGTTAAGAAAGTTCAATAAACTTGCAGGGTTCAGATTCAGCTTCAATTAATACGGAAAATCTACTCCATATTCAAAAAACAAAGCGATAGTAGAACTCAATCAATATTTTGAATTGAATTTTGAAAGTAATATTGGATTGCTCCGTTTTTCGCTATGTGATTGGTTCAGAAAACTCGCGCCACTTTCTCAACCAATCAATCAGATGCAAAACTGAAACCAAGCTCAACTTGGTCGCCTGTGTTTTCCCGCACGTATTAGGGAATTTGATTGCTTTCACTATGAGTCGTTATTATCCAGCTGCACAAAGTGGAGTAAAAATAACGCGGCATTAGAGTACAGATGTCCTGCGATATTGCACAGTTGGTTATTTTGTAATGTAAGAAACCTGTTTAATCGGTTAGCTGCGCATGCTACGCCTCTCTCTCTGCCCCGCTTTTCCCGCCTAAATAAAGTAAACAAATAGGTAAAATAAAGCAATTGGATTATAAATAACTTATCAATCTTTTTTATATGAAGTATCGCTGAGTACTTTCACTCTTTTTTTGTATCATAACTCGCCCTACGGGCTCTTCAAAATACGGCACAACTCAGGTCAAAATACTCAGCGATACTACACAACAAAACATCTAATAAGATATATTTATTGGCTCTTAGAGGTATTTTCCTTTGTTCCGATCAGTTGTGATGATAATTTAAGCTTTGGTTTTCCGGCACTCATGCAATCGAACGTCGCTCTATCAAGAACATTTGTCTTCTCGGATTGGGTCAAGAGAGGTGTCCGTAACATCACCCAATTATATTTCGACTAAGTAGTCTAGAATCGGCCCCGAAGGTTAAGAGGGACCTCAGGTGAACCAAGACGGCGACGGAGATGACGAAGTGGAAAAACAAAAGATCTTATGGGTAGAACAATATCTTGGCACGTGCGTTTAAAACTTTGTATTGATTTTTTTCATCTGTCCTCTGCACAACAGCAAAGTGAATTCACCAAAATTCACGAGCTCCGAGAGCGGAAATCCCGACATAAATTTTTTTTAAGTTTCCATCTGGAACTCAACACTGATCACGTAGGTTATGCTAAATTTGAGTTGTGACGCGCTATGTGAGGATAAGCACATTTTTAAATCGACATCCTCCTCGGAATTGCCTTCCTGACTGCGTAGGGTCCCTAACGATGTAAGCACGGCAGGCTTTGTATTTTCTAGTGACTCAACTGAACAAATATCTTCTTAGCGGTTTCTCATCAGTTTCTCCCCTTCTGCAAAATCTGCGTAAAAGGAACCATACAAGTAGCTATATCAAGGCTGTGCCACTTCTAAATTCATTTCTTCGAAGAGCTTCCTGAAGAAGACTTTCCTGAAAAAGACTTCCATGAGAAGACTTTCCTGAAAAAGCAAGGGTGGATCCCAAAATTTGCACTAGCTTCTTAGGGGCATTTGGGAGAAAGTGTTAACCTTTCGAAAATGATAGATTTTTCATTGCCAGAGAAGAACCTCTTGTATCGTTGAACCTCTTGTATCGCATCAGAAGTAACGTGTCTTGTCTTTGCCCAACTCTGAGAGCGTGGAGCGGCAAAGGCGCGAGACACGAGTCTCGCGTCTCGCGGCTTCTCCATGCCCACAGGATATGCGTGACCTCACTATCTTTAAGAAAAATATGAGACTGTTCGGAGGCTGTATTCCGTTTGACCATTTCATAAGAGTGACGCGAGTCTTTTCAATTGAGTGAAAAAGTCACAAACCCATTCTTTACCTCACGAGCGTAACTACTGGCCACTCACGAATTACAGTAGGCTTCTCCCTTGAAGCAGAAATTGAAATCGTATCGAGTATACTTAACAAATAGGGAAGCCTTGGCTGTGCTCTGTTCTGTTATAAAGCAAGCAGGAAGCGGCTAGAGCACGAAAGAAGTGTAGGGAGAAACACGAGACGTAGTCTCAGGACATTCAAAAGCTGTTTGGAGTTATTATTACAGTTGAATCAGGTGGTCTTCAGTAACATTTTCTGTTATCTATTTTTGTCTCGTGACATATCTGCTCGAAAAGAGAAGAATCTCTTTATTAGATTAAGGGTACTTAAGTACACATCACGTTCAAAAAACATAGATCTATGTGTAAGTGCTTTTAATTGCAGATGAAAATATGTACAATTTTGCTTGGTTGATAATCAATAATGTTTTTGTAGAAGATCAAATCACCTGACAACCCAATACACTTATTCATGCGTACGGTTCACAATTATTTGCGGTCAGTTTTCCTCAGTTTGTATGATTCTCAATAACCAGTATGATTAAATTTGTTGATGAAAACGCCCCTTATTTGATTAAGAATAATAAAAGTAAACAGTGCATGTCGGTTTTCAATTCCTGATGGATACTATTGGGCCGTACTTTCAACTGAGAAATTTGCAATCGCATACCTCAGCTCTCTGTGTCCCATGCCGTAAGAAGCACGAGAAAAGAGTTGATGATAGTGAGTCTTGGCTGAGACAAGAAGAATCAGAGAAGAATCTACGGTCCCCAGAAATGCTACAGTTAAACAAGAGAAAACTAAGGTAAATTGAATTAAGTGGTATTTGTTTTACTGAAAACTATCGTTCATATTATAAGATACGCGAACTACTCTCCCCACCGATTTTTGTGTGGGATTTCCCACACTTTGTCAACTCCCGCGAAATTTATTTCTTTATTTATTTGTCCACAAGAGAGAAGTGCTTGTCACGTGGTTTCTATTTGCGTTCAGTGAGCCGTGAAGACTGGATTCCAGTCGGCGTTTTTTCATAGTGTATTGTACGGCGGCCATTTCTCTTCTCAGTCGTTGGGTTTTGGAGAACTTATTCGGAATTTCATGTTTGTTTCTTGGGGATTTTTGTTTCCAAGGTAAGGATAAGTCATTTCATATTTTCACGGGTTCTTTGCGTGCTTTAACTTTTCAATTTTGTTGTGGGAGCTTCAGAGATTCCAACCCTCCCGATTTGATGTCTTGCCTCCCGCTCTCCCGATTTTTACCAAAATTCTCCCGATTTATCATAAAATTCTGAAAACTAGGGGAAAATTGCTAATCTTTAGAATTTTTGGCGATCTGTCACTGTGAAACGCTCATATTATACTTACTTTCTTCGCGAAGAGCATCATGGTATGTTATAACTCAGGCCGGAATGATGTCAAAATTCAGGAAATGGCACTTGAGAGAACCTAAATTTGCGCATGCCCCCTGACCCCCCTAGAAGCTCGCGCCTTTGGCACTAATAATTACTCCCTATTTTCCATCACATGGGGTTGGAATCTCTGGAGCTTCACGATTAAGCTCTCACGAAAGGCGATTACGTTTGTACACCTGGTTTGTGTTCTTTCTTTCATAATCTAAGGCGTTTGTTTCGTTATTTCTTCAGGTGTCTATAACAAAAGATTTTTTCACGTAAGTCAACACGCTGAAACGCGGCTTGTGTTCAGTGCAGGTTGCACAGGAGCTTTTACGCTTTCACAAGCCAACATTTATCGGCTTGGACCTTCGGTGCGGGTTGTGTCAGATTGAAAGGAGTCATTGTACTCTCGCAAGCCAACATTTGTTGGCTTGAATGTATTTGTGCGGGTTGCGCTTCAAAGAGTCTCAGGGTGTCTCAAAGTGTCTCACTAGTGTCTCAAAATGTCTCACGAGTGTCTCAAAGTGTCACAAACTGAAAGAAACTATTGTTTGCCTTGAACTGTCAAGAGTGTTATCTATTTTAATAAACTGAGTTTCTAGTTAGTTGGATTGTTGTTGTTGCTCGCTCAAGCACACAAGTAAATATGGGGATCTCCATTGACCAATTCCGTTCAAGGATTGGATCTCATGAAGATTTACATCCTGATTTTAGTGAAAACTATGACTTCTTTGATGATCTCAACATTTCATCAACATCGCTGAATAATGAACCACTGATATTGAATGAATTACCTGATTTTGATTTTCGTCAAATGGTCCAGACACCCGATAAAGAGCAAAAAGAATTTTTTTAACACATTTTACATCAGATTAAAACCTCAGAAACCCCTTTCTACTGCTTCCTCAGTGGAGGGGCTGGTGTTGGCAAATCGCATTTAACAAAAGCTTTGTATCAGGCAGTGCTTAAGTATTATAACACTAGAGCTGGTGATGATTTTCATCAGATCATAGTTATACTATTAGCTCCAACTGGTAAAGCTTAAGGGTGACACTCTTCATAGCACTCTGGCCATTCCTGCCAATCAATCACTGAGAAATTACAAACAGCTTGATTCAAGTAGACTAAACACTTTGAGAAGTCAATTGATTTTTGTTGATGAAATCTCAATGGTAGGAAATGGTATGTTTGCAATACAGCTAAACAATAGGCTTAAATATATAAAAGGCTGTAGAGAGGATTTTGGAGGTGTGAGCATAATTACTATTGGTAATTTATTCCAATTAGAATCTGTTATGGAAGCTTATATTTTCAAAGACCTCAAAAATGTAGATTTATGCTGTTCTTTCTCCCAGTTTATGGCATAAACACTTTAAAATGTTTGAACTTAATGAAATCATGGGTCAAAGAGACAGCAAATTGTTTGTAGAATTACTTAATAGGTTGCGTAAAGGTAAACACACAGTAGCTGACATTGCAAAACTTAAAGAGAGCTATACAAGAAGACATCAACAACCCAATAGATGCAGCTCACCTATTTATACAGAATGCTAAAGTAGATGAATTTAAACAAAGGGCCCATAATGCAGCCACAGGAAACAAATTCACAATAAATGCTCAAGATAGTGTTATTGGAGCTATCTCTCCAGAGCTAAGAAACAAAATACTAAGACAAATACCCAATGATCCAAGAAAAACAAAACAGTTAGCCTCAACCCTTTGTCTTGCTGAGGGTGAAAGAACACACCTTGTCATGAATGTACGAACCGAAGATGGCATGACAAATGGTGCTGGAAATGTTGTTAAACTAGTTCAGTTACATCAACAAACCAAACCATCTGGTATTGTATGGGTACAATTTGACCACTCAGATGTAGGTCAGAAAACAAGGAATGAAAAAAGACATTTGTATGTACAATGAATTGAACACACATGGACCCCAGTAAACCCTGTGACTACACAGTTTGCGGTAGGTAGAAACAGAACAGCACAAGTTGTTAGAAAACAATTTCCACTGCGTCCCGCAGCAGCAAAAACAATTCACAGGTCACAAGGTGATACTGACAGTAGAATTGTTGTGGATTTTAGTACCAGAAATACTATTCCACACATACATTATATGGGACTCAGTAGAGTGACTGCTATAGAAGGCCTATATATTTCTGATTTGTGTGAAAGCAAGATTGCTGTTAATCCAGATGGAGAGATTAAGAACAACTGCAAAACTTAAGCTTTGCATCTCCCTCTCCATGACATAACATTTTCCCTTCTTAAACTGTGTTATCTTAATGTAAGGTCTCTTCACAAACACATAGAAGATATACGTAAAGACTTAATTTATCTAAGTGCTGATATCAATATTTTCACAGAAACAAGATTTAATTCTCAAGATAATAATGACATGTATGACATTGCTGGTTATGTTCTCTTCCGTAATGATAACCTTAATTCCAGCAATGGATCAAGGTCTTATGGTGGTACAGCTGTGTACAGTAAAATCCCATACTTACCTGGATACCCCTATTGTCACAATATACATGGTGTTGAAATAACAGTAATTAAGTTAGCAAGGTTTGAGGATTGG